GATCCAAGAACCTCTACAGATTTCTAGTGATAGCTGGTAGCACTATTGCCTTTATGAGTAAAAACAATAATAATGGCCCTTTGTTTCTCTCATGAAGCTCCTGCAAGCCAACAAGAGTGCAATGCAAATATAGGTCTACCTACCCCATTTATACCTTAAAGCAGTCAAACCAAAGAATAAACTTAATAGCAGGAGCTTGTACATTGACATCAGTCAGCAAAAAAAATACCCATTTAATGATAAAAATCAATGGATCCATTGCAGGCAAGGCAAACTCACCAGTACACCTTCTTGGTAAACTGAGCAGGCCAATCGGAGAGATAAGGCTGACCCGCAGGACAGAAGGGGAGGGGGACAGAGGCAAGTGGAGCAAGGACATCATCGAGTGGAATGTGTGGAATGGGATCGATGGGGTCTGGGAACTCCGTATCCCTTGGGTGAGCATTGAACATGGCTTCTGGATTTGTCGCATAGACGTGCAGGTACCCTGCAGAGTCCCCAAATGCCATGGCTTGGCATGTAGGAGCAATGTCAAAGGTCAGGAACATTGCACCTGGTGTCTCAACCTGGAGAAACATTTACTTGTCATAGCTTGAAAGTTGACCATCCCCATCTTCATTGGCCAAAAGCAAGAAGTAAATATATATGTTGCTTTCATTCATGATGTTGCTTAGCCAGAGTATGTGATCATCATTGATGAAACTAAACTGATTGCTGTCTGAAGGCACTCTATGAAAAATTGGAGTCTCAACAGCAACTAGATAACCATTTCATCATTCAGCACAATCCAAAAAAGCTCAGCAAGCCTGAGTGAATAAATGCTCACCTGGCAGAGACAGAGATCAGAATTGCTTGTCTCCAGGAGTTGCAATTGGCCAGAGGCAGACAGGATGGCCAAGCGGGAGGAGAACGAAGGGATGAAGCGGAGAAGGAATGGCTCCATAGCCACCTGCACAGGTGTCGTGGCCCTCATCATCCGCAAGTCATACACCATCAGAATGTGATCCACTGCAAGATTCCCCATCCTACACCAAAAAACACACATGCTTTTAGCAATCACAATTTTGAAATCTGCTATCATATGGTATACTCTCCTTACAAAATGTATTGAATCAACCAATCAGCAGCAAGAAAATGAATTATGAGCAATGCATTCTGATTCCCATAATAAATAAAAAAGAAAACGTAACTGCCCATTCTTCTTCTTTGTCACCATCTCAGGACAAAGCAAAGCAGCAGTTTTCATTTTTATTGGCAAAATTTCCATTTTTAAACAAATTACCATCTCATCCATCAGGCAGTCAACTGTTTATAGAGAGAATGCCACATACCTGCTAGAGAATCCACAGGTCACAACAGTGTTTCCGTGGACATCAAAATCTGACAGGCTTCCCGTGTGAGCATCCAGGACATGCTCAACACGAAGGTTGGAGGGACTGTGGAGTCTCACTTTCCCTGCTGGATCTCCAGATACCACAAATCGTGGATGACCACGCAGGATTGGACACCCGTTTTCTCCCTCCACTTCCACCTGTCATTCCAGTCAAAATGCACATGTGTATGATTCACAAGAACATTGATAGTTGCAGCAGGCTTCTTCTCATGACTTCATCAAAGTAGGCAGGCATGGATGACTGACCCTTGTCAGAGTTCACACTAGGTTTTTTAAATCTTGAGTCGTGGCACCTAGCTTCAGCTCAGTTGGAACATGTTCAGGAGGTTCTCAACGAGTCCCACGGACTTAGATGTTTTGCAAATGAGTCAGGTAATACAAGTCGCTATTGCGAGTTAACAAACCCTGCTTTTACAGGGTGGTGCAAAAGTCATGCACCATAGGGGATTTCACAATTGCACTACATTAATTCTTGTTTCTTTCTTTGCAGGTAACTAGTGGCTGCAAAATTAACAAAAGTCAAGAGGGTGGAGTTAAGATATGTTCAAACATTATATGTACAGTGAATCAAAGTGTTTCCAAGTTGATGGTAAATGATTCGGACATTTACTGTAATTAACATTATGGTGGGCAACTTTTGCACCACCCTGTAGACTTTGGGGATCAAGGGGAGAGGGGGTAATGCTGTAATACTGCCACAACCCCTTGAAAACGAGAAACTCAAAATTAAACTATCCTTCTGACACTGCACTTATTTATTATTTACTCCAGTGCAGGAAAAATTTATATTAAAAAAATACTGGTCCACCCAAATTATTGCTTGACTAATATTCTGCAGCTTCAAGAGGGCTGGAACTGCACAGCTTTAAAATGTGCAATCAATAGCAAAAATATGGCACCTTCATTTGCTTGCTTCTGAAGACCATTCTAGGTGGGTGCCTAAGAATTTTGCTGGGTTGTTTTATTAACTTGAACTAAGTCAGAAGTCAAAAGTTCAGAAAATTGATGTTTGTTTAGGTTGAAAAGTTATGGTTCAGGGTAGATTGACAAGTGCAGAGGAATCATTATCATTTCTTTCATAACACAACTTTAACTGGGTAACTGGTGGGTAACTGTGACTGGACTTTAGAATTGGTTAGAAAGCCTCTATGGCTAAGTAAATACTGTATTAGATGCATGCCTTTTTAACAATATGCCAAAGGAATACAGATGAATTACTTATAATGTTCATCAGTTTCAGCTTGGTTAGAAGAAAACTCAGTAGTTCATGGCACACATGGAACAGAACACTCTCCTCTCCATTTCTCTGCAGTGGGTCTAAGTATATATTAAAAACTGTTGATCCTGAATTTCTAACTCCCCATGAAATTCACAATAGAATTTGATTTGAAATTCATCTCCAAAGATGAGATTTCTCTCCCAATAGAATGTGAACCACACAAATGATTCAATTTTATTCAAGAATAAAGACTCCAATCAACTGCCTGATTCCTTTCAGCCTTTGAATACTAAACAAAATGTATGGAACAATTATTGCACGTAAAGTTCTGAACCAAAAGAGACATTCAAATCAGCTCTTTCCCTGTGTAGTCATGATCTGCCTGATGCTGTTCCAGGAGCATAAAACATAGACAATTTGTGCCTTGTGCTGACTGGGGAGAATTTCTTTAAATGAAACTATACTTGATCTAGAGATGCAACGATATTTTATCGGTTATCGGTATCGGCCGATATTAGGTGAATCTGATATATCGGCCTAAAACGATATATGACCTGCCGATAACCGATATTGAAATTACACCTGAAGTATGC